GGGGCAGCTGACAGAGGCAGACTGCTCTGCCCACTGCTACAGACCCAGGAGCCCTCTCCGGCGAGGGGCAGCCAGGCCATCTGACCACCTCTTCTGCGCTGGCCCGGCCAGCCTCAGGACCAGCTCGGCAGGCTCAGAGGCCAGGTAAAGGGCGGAGGAGTCAATGTGCCCCTACAGCGGGGGTGGGGAGACAAATAGGGAGCCTTAAATGTCTGAACAAGGAGACAGTCGTCTCTCCACAACCAGCTCCAGTCCCCCGACGTCGGAGCCGTTCCTCTCCACCCGGACCCCTGACCAGCAAATCCAGAAGAAACAATCTGAGCCATCGGGCAAATCGCCAGCGACCAGAAACCGCCAAGGCGGCTGCCACGGTCAGAGAACACCGTGTCCTCCCGCATCCCCCGCTCACCGACTGACCCAAAGAACAATGGCAAGCGGTGAGCTGCGGGCCCCGGGCCGTCCCGTCTCTGCAGGGTGAGCCTGGGACCGAGCCCGGGGGACACACCCCAGTGGAACCGCGTTTCCCACCCCCAAATGGGGGCAGGCCTCCTGAGGCTTCACACCAGGGCCACTCCACTTTGGAAGCCCCGGAGGGGGCACAAAGCCACTCCCAGCACATGCCGAGGGCCGCAACTTAAGCGTGGTTGCATGTACTTGCAAATGTGCATGCAAATATATGCAAATAGCTTCTTTCCCACTGGCGGGCATGAATCCAAAGCTCAAGGCAAGACGACACAGCACACAGGCCCCATTGAAGTCAGTTCTGCTGACTAATAAAATGCAACATCGACCCCATTTCCACCTCGGACAGCACTTTGAATGAGCAACGACAGCCCCGGAAGCTAACTACTAAAACGCATCTCAACAGAAGCCCATTACACCGGCTCCTTGTTTGGTTTGGCTCCCGCCAGCAGGCCCGCGGTGTGACGGACCGGGCCGTGTCTGGGCACAGCTGAGGGCGTCCGCTCAGGGCGAATTGCTCAAATCCGGGGCTACTTACAGCCCCCGACTGGTGCCCTTTCCACACAGGCCACAAACCAGTCCCACAGAGCGCTTCAGCAACCTGCCTGAAGCCTCCCGAGAAAACC